CGATACGAGGAACACACAATATTAGAAACAATTACATTTAAAACAAATATTTCTAATTTTTTCCTTATGTAAACAATCAAAAATTTCAGTACTTTATGACAAAGTATTAAGCTCTTTATTTTAACATAAACTCATTAAAAAGATGAAGAAGAAAAGAAAAGACCAGAAAATGAAAACAGGACGCAGCTACTTGATATTTAATGGAAAAAAGCCTCTCTTACGTTAACTATGAACCATAAATATTGAGAGAAATTATTATGGAGAATATGAAAATTAGTAGCCATAGAGAAAAGAAAAATAAGAAAAATGTAATTCAAATGAACAGTTCCCTTAAACCATTTACTTTGTTTTTGTCGTATGCCTGTTTTGGCAGTGGGGGTGCGATTGTTCTTGTTTTTCAGTGGCGCCATCTATGGCCAGGAAATCGACTTTTGCCACGCCATTCACACAACCACAACCCGTTTATAGGGCAGGTCACATTCACACACAAAGGAGAAAGGACATAGAACACAGACAGAGAGAAAGAATCATCCATGCCTTGACCGGGATTCGAACCCAGGACCTTTCTGATTCCCTGCCCCCTACACAGGCTGGTCGGCTAACCATTTACTTCTGCCCAACTTATAATCACATTTTTGTTTCAGCTTTTCGTTGCCCTCGCTGAAACAAAAATTTATTTACGAAATCTTTTGACCTGCATACACTTTTAAGCATTTATGCTTATGACTGTCCTCTTGCCTTTTCCTTTTTTTTCAAGCAATCTGTATCTATACGCATTAGAATTTAACATAATACATATCAACCACGTTCTACTTGCTATCGCTCGCCCCCGGAATAGATATCGCAGTTAAATTTTGGATCGCCTTGCGACCCAAGCTGCTTTTGCTCTTTCTTTGGATAATACACTGTTAGAAATTTTCTTTTTTTTCAAAAATTATTTAAATGATAATTTACTCAATTGTTATTTATCATATTTAACCACAACAGTCGAATAACCATATACAAATATAGTAGTCGAACTTTAAACTGCGAGAAAAAAGCGTTAGTTGACTTTTTTCACCTAGTACGGTTCTTCAATAAGAATTTTATCAGTGCTATTTAGGCCCATCTCATAGCCAATGAGAATCGAGCGCATGTTCTCTGCAAGCTGGAGGCTAAGCCATGTTATAAGGATAACGAATTTATATTTTTACTTACCATCAGTGGATGCTTAATAATCTCATAGTAATAAGTGTGTTATGAACAACAAATGAAGCCACTTCATATGCTGCTCCTCGCCGCTGGGTATAACTTTAACCAAGAGGGTTAATCAGTCAGTCTCATGACCACTTGAATAAGGATTCGAATCTTAGCATTGGTATCACAATATTTTCTCTATTTCTTCAACACATGAGTAGTTTTCAGTGAACACATAACTACACTACGGGACTACGGGAACACATAACTACCATTCCTGCATAGGTGGCGGCTCAACAGAGCTGCTTAACACAAAAAGTCAAATATTTCCCCTCTCTCACGATAGATGGCACAACTATGTGAATTAATTAAGGCAACTCCACTGTTCACTTGACAAAACACAACTCAACCACATCCAAACTCATACGTAGTATAAATGCATAAGTAATAAGTGAATAATTTTAAAATAAATTTCATACGCAATTGTAAATTTGTGAGTTTTAAGAAACTTGGTTTAATAAAAAATTTTCTCGCAAAAATTAAAGCAAGTATCAGAAAAAAATAAAGTTTTAGGTTCATTTTTATGCTCCTCTGAAAAAATATACAATCTTGAAGACGTTAAAAGTTTTACACAATTATATTTCTTTATATTTCTTCAGTTACAAAAACTATGAAATTATAAGAAATTAGTTTAAAAAAAATGGTAATTTTAAATAATCAGCAGAAAGAGAGCTGAAAATGTAGCGGTTCCAAAACATAGATTCTGAAACATTTTCCCCCAAAATGCATTTCAGAAACAAAAAATTCTTTTCCGTCAAATTTTACACCATTCGAAATTTCTCCGGAAAAATGGTTCAATAGCAATTTATTTAATAGTTATTTTGCCATATTCAAACAAAACAGTCAAATACCCTTTAAATAAGATGGTAATCAAACTGTTAACTGTGAGAAAACACTGTTAACTGTGAGCTTTTTTAACTGTCTTCCCCTAACAACCAGACCAACCAGACACAACCAGATGCTTAAACAACCAGAATTTTATCACACCAACTAAGCTCACCTAATGACGACACTTAGTTCCTTTCAACTGCTTACGTATTATAGCCCAGAAGACTAATCTGGCAGTCCCATGACCGATAGAACTGGGATTCGAGTCACAGCGTTGACACCGCATTATTTTCTCGATTATTTTCAATACATTCGAGTTACCAACGTCCTGAACTCTCCAATGCCCCTTACCTTAAGCTTAACTCCTATGCTATGTCTAGTTAAATTTCGTTTCTAAGGTTTTCAAACTATGCTAGTTGTAAATGGTTTAAAAACCGTCAAGTTAAAACATGTTTTTTTTACCGTAAATTTTACGGTTAATAGGATGGACAGACTTCTACCAGTTATTTTACCATAATTTTATAAAGAAAATTCTAACAGTGTATAATTATGTTTTATACTCTAAATTACTTTAAAGGTTATGAAAAACAATAGATCAAAATGAAATTTTGGTGATAAATAAATACCTCTCTCTAGAAATTTATGCCATGTTTGACATCACAGCATTATTCACACTTTTTTTTAAAACTTACATAATTGAAATTTATGAGCGATAACACATGTTAGTTGACGCCCGGTGGCTGAGCGGTAGCGCTTTGCTCTGTCGTGCCACAGGTCCCTGGTTCAATCCTCGGTTGATTAATAAAAGTTTGGTTGACTCAGCCTTTCATTCCTTCAGTGGGTCGATAAATGAGTACCAAGCATGCTTGGGAACTGAACACTGGGGGTTCCGCGTTCGGCTGACCACCTGACCGGAGCATCTGCTCCTGCACCCCAGAGCCCAAGGTCAAGAAAACTTAGATAGGCACAGTAGGCCTTGGCCCTATATGGGCTGTCGTGCTGCTGAGTTTAGTTCAGCACATGTTAATTATAAAAGGCAATTTAGAAAATAAATCATCGAAAACTTTTATTTTTAAATTTTCTGTAATTGGTTTATAATGCAAAAATTTTTTAGTTGTATGTTAATGCAAAAACATTATATTTGATTGCGTAAAAATATTTTAGTTATTTATTCCACCGGCTAATTTAGCTTATTAGGTTTTCAGTCTAAATAAAATAGAATTATAATATTTTTTTTTAAGAATTATTTGATTTCCTGAATTTTGGTTCATGAAACTCTCGTGTTTATTACCCTAACTGATACCGACTTGACAAATTTTGTAGTGAACTTGAAATAATTAACAATGCTTATTTTAACGAATTTGAATTTACACACTGTTAATAATATTAAAGTTTTATAAGAAATATCGTTGTCTAGAATTTGTAAAAAAAAATAATAATTACGGAAAGAGACAGGACAACTTACTGACAATAAAATGTTAGAGGTTAATTATTAAATTTGAAAAAAATATTAAAGTTAAGGTAAATCATAAGACAAGAATTTGAATGAAAAACATTTAAATAGCAGAAGTGTAAACATTTCATTGTTTTTAGAAACTACATGTTTCTGTATAAAAAAAAATTTCAATTCTCAGACATTGACTTTTGAAAATTGTCTTTTACAGTATTACCTAAATTTTGAATTCATTTAACCACCTGAGACTCGAGTACTAAATAATGCGAAAAACACGAGTCTGATTTACATATGTTCCTTAAAAAGTAAACTTATGTGATAAATTATTTTTAAATAAATTTCATTTTAATTTCCTAATTATTATTCAATTATTTTTTATCGTTGCATGAAAATGTTAAATTTATGCTTTCAGCAATTTTTACATATTGCAGAATATTTTTAGAGTGTATGACTCTTTCATATTTTGCCATGAAATGTATTAACATGACTCAAATAATAAACTATTTATACGCCATAAAACTGTTCACAAGGTTAATCACATTTCGTACCATTTTTATATTTTTTTCACAGTAATTACAAAATTCCGACCATCTAGAGTAAGATCAATTATAGTTCTGAGTAGACAATCACTTTGTAAAAATGTACAAACAGAAAAACATTCTTTTTTACGCAAAAAAATTTAACGAAACTTTTCTGATAAATTGAACGTTGCCTCTCAAAAGCGTATTTGTATTTCAAAATTCCTTTTAGAATGAAATTTTTTAAGTTAACAGGGAATTAGAAATTGATATTTTTTGCATGGCAAAACTTTTATTAATCAGCCTACTCCTAAGTCTTCATCTTTCTTAATTTATAGCTAAAATGAGTAAAAGTTTCATTTCAACTTTAAAATATTCTGCAATATGTATAAATGCAATTTTTACATATTGCAGAATATTTTTAGAATGTATTACTTTTTCATATTTCGGCCATGAAACGTATTACCATAACTCAAATAATAAACTATTTATAAGTCATAAAACTGTCCACAAGGTTATCTGAATCACATTTCTTAAGATTTTAATATTTTATCATTGTAATTATGAAATTTCAACCATCTATAGAAAAATCAATCATAGTTTTAAGTCGATGTACAAACAAAAAAAAAACATTCCTTTTTAAACAAAAAAAATACACCAATTTTTTTAGATAAATTGAAAGTTGAGTCTCAAAAGTATATTTGTATTTCAAAATTCCTTTTAGAATGAAATTTTTTAAGTTAACAGGGAATTTAAAATTGATATATTTTACACGCAAAACTTTTATTAATCAACCTACTCTTAAGTCTTCAGCTTTCTTAATTTATAGCTAAAATCAGTTTCCTTCCGACTTTAAAAGTACAACATTTCGTTCTTTTCGGAAACTGCAATATTTCAAAATCAATTCAAAGTTTTCAAACTTTTAAAACTTATAATAATTTTAATATTATAAATATTGCACTTACCAGGGTAAAAATTCCACTGGCAAAACTACCCTTCCTGACTGAGTTCCAACAGCAGCAACGATTAATGAGGACCATTCCGAAGGACTGTCACATGGCCTCGTCTGCTTTGGGGTCGGGCAAACGATCTTTCATCTTGAGCGTCCTTTTCAACTTCTTGCATCGGAAAAAGTGACGACCCATCGTCCCTAACAGCGAGAAAAGATGCTTTTGAGGAGCATGCGCAGAACATAAAGGGGAAGTCGCCACCCTTTCTCATCCAGCACCCCCTAATTCCCCCACACCCCCCATCGATCGTCCCCAAAAGAGTTTTACGGACTTTTCTGAAGCGGACCACTTTGCGACCAAACACTCTTGGGTGTCCCCAAAGAAATACAGAATAAAACTAAGTTCGAAAGAAAAGGAACGGAATGAGTTTTCTGAAGTTCGATTTCTCTTACTAATGTGTGTTATTGAATTTCCATCAGCGTAGTGTGTGGTTCGTTAAAAGAAATCTATCCTCTCTTATTATTTCTTGGATACATGGCTGGTAATTAAATTGTAAATGATTGTTCAAATAAATCATCAAGGAAATTCCATTAATTTAAAAGAATAAATAAATTTGAAGTTTGTGGAGATATAAGAAAAGTTTGAGAAATAAATTACCAATCCATAAATGTACAGATTTTTTTTTTTTTTTTAGGAAAAAGCGTTAATGCGTCACAGTTCCGATATTTTGCTATTTATAACCACAAGTAAAGTATAAACGAAATCAAGTTTGTGTAAGTATTGTTAAAAACTACAGTCCGCGATCAAATTATTATGCAAAATCTTAATTATCAGGTGATACTATACACCTTTATGGTTTTTACTTGACTGAAACCGGTTTGTACTTGTTTACGTTCGTGTATCAATTAATTAAATTAGACGATATATAATATAAATTCTAAGATTGGATAAATTAGATGATATATTATATAAATATAGAATATTTATTATATCAGGCATTATATTAGTGTATTATAGTAATTAGACCAAATTATTAGACGCACTGTAGCTTTTTTAATAATGACATAGTTTGCACGAATTTATATGTAATACTTTTATATTTAGAAATTTTTTATTTACTTACATTTTTTGATTTATATTTAAGCATCTTTTATTTTTAACCATTCAATTTAATTCAGTTTCATTCAATTCAACTCAAAATACATAGGAAACGACATTTTATACGTTTTACCCTTTCCTTCTCGCTCCCGTGAAAATGACGGGGTGAGGTTTCGCCCTCTATTTCTCGCTCCCGTGATATTGACGGGCTGGAGTGTTCAGTAGTAACGCACCAATAAGAATAAAACGAATAAATTTCTTTTGCCCCCGGAAAAAATTTTATTTCTCATTTTACACACCAGATGGCATCACCAGGATATTTTTAAGGTATTTGTTAGTTTATTTTAAACTAGATAAGTTAGTTTATTTTAAACTAGATGACAGCACTAATCAAAAACGTAATAAGAATACAAAAGCCCAGAAGATAGGCACTTTTATTACCGTTTTCTTGAAAATTAACCGATCGTTAAGGAGTCAAATAACAATGTACACTCTAAATAATTTTCGTGCACCTTAACGCTGAAAATGACGGCAATTACTTTACACCAAACAAATCTTGCCCCAAGTGTTCCAAGAGTGTAAATTACTTTTTTTGGTAAATCACTTTTCATAATCAGTGATTACACTTGGTGCAAATAACTTTTTTTCGTCAACCAAATATATTTTTATCAACTTCTCAGTGATTCCTCATATTACGATAGACTTTTTGTCTTTGCTTTGGAACCTCTAATTTTCGAGCTATTTTTCTTCCATTCTTTACAAGGATTCTAAAAATGCATAGTAAGGGCAGTCAATGAGGAGCACCCAGTACTATGATGCAAAGTGAGGCAATTAATTCCCAGGTGCAGTCTGACAACTTCAAATACTATGTGCATTATGTACCCATTTAATATGCTTCGAAGTTATCTTATGCTGAAGCAATACAATTCAGTACTTGGATACGGAAACTTCGTTTTAAAGTTTCATCTCAGAATACTCCTCGATTCTGATGACTTCGACATGGTCTAACTAACGTTGTTTTGCTAAAAAAGTAAGTTTTTGGGGGAATTTGCAGCGATGAATCGTTTTTGATGATCTTTTCTGATGAATCTCTTTCTTTTTCTCTTTCAAACTTTTTTTCCCCAAACCTAAAGAGAAAAAAAGTTCTCAAAGAGCATATTTTAAATCCTTCAGAACCGTCGATCTCATTTAACGTAGTTAAGAAAGTTTCAGAAACTTCATTTCATCTTCGATTCTGATGGTTTCGATATCATCTAACCAACGTTGTTTTGCTAAAAAAAAAGGTTTTGTTCTTTAGAATTTGAGCAGATGAATCTTTTTTGATGATCTTTTTTGATGAATCTCTTTCTTTCTCTCTTTCAACTTTTTTTTCCACACCAAAAGAGAAAAAAAGCTCTAAAAGAGCATATTTTAAATCCTTCAGAACCGTAGATCTCATTTACCGTAGTTATGAAAGTTTCGGAAACTTCATTTAATCTTCGATTCTGATGGTTTCGACATCATCTAACCAACGTTGCTTTGCTAAAAAAAGGAGGCTTTTTTTTTGGAATTTGCACAGACGAATCTTTTTGGGAATCATTTTTGATTATCTTTTCTGATGAATTATTTTATTTTTCTTTTTAAATTTTTTTTCCTAAAGCGAGAAAAAAAAAGTTCTAAAAATGCACATTTTAAATCTTTCAGAATCGTGATCTCATATACGTTATGACACAAGTCTCATTTGATGGTGCCGTGTATGAGACGAGCCTTTCAGACACAGGTCTCTTTGGTTCGTTCTGAGCCGGGTTAAGGATGTTGAAAACGTTATAGGAATTTCATAATTGAAGAACCTTTTGAAAGCTGTTACTGAAATTTCTAGAGTCCATTACAGAATTTTAATATATCAGATGGAATTTAGGTCAAAATATACTAATGTGTATGTAATTCATATAGTATTTTCAGTTATTTTTAGATCAGAACTTGAAATGAATAGCCTTGTATTATGTTTCATAAGTAATATGAGTTTTTAAAAAGGAGTTCTTAAAAAATGAAAGCATTTCTTTAGGTATATTTCTCCTTTACACTTGAAATAAATGTCAGGACTACAGACAAAATAAAGAGTTCTAATATACAAAAATGAAATGAAGCCTCACAAATTCACTGTTATTAACAACATATGCATTAAAATGTGAAGTGAATTTATTAAACTAATGAATTCCAGTTAATGATAAATGCATTTTCACGTGATTTGAAAATGCACGAGAAATTAAGCTAAAATCCTCGATCTGCATTTCATGCCTTTCCTTTCATTATATGAGAAATTAAATTTGACTAGATTTCAAAATATGACTTTCAACTCACTTGCATAAATTGATGCGTTCTTTTTATTTTTATATCTAACACGACGAATCAATTGATAGAGGTATAAATTTATTCAGAATACTTTTTAAGTTCGAAAACATCTATAGAAATAAAAAGTAAATTAAAAGTATTTAATAAAATTAATGATATAAATATAAATGAAAAACAGTTTTTCTGAAAAATATATATCATCATTTTATTTAGTTCAGTTGAAAATAATTTAGTTTCCGTAAAGCTAAATTAGTTTTATTGAAATTGAAGGATGAAATGTTATTTACAATTACTGATAATAACATTTCTACAGAAATGTTGAACAAATTACAGCTACTTAGTACAGTGAAAATATTTGAAAAAAAAAAAAACAATGTAAAAATTTATTTTTATACAAGTTAAAAATAACTGGCGGGCTGATTGAAAAATGTAATATGAGTTTCATAAATTTGGGAATAGTCATTGCTAAGTAGTAAAATAATATCTTTAGCAACACATCATTAACATACATTTCCGAAATTTACAAATATTATCCAAACAAAGAAAAGATTTTTTGAAAAAAAATTGATCAATATTGCTAATTGTTCAGTATTTAGTCATGTGATTGAAAATTGACGGATGAGTTTTATTTAATGTTTCAGATTGTTTCTTATTATTTTTTTAAAAATTAGAAATTTGTTTTTATTTACATTTCTTAAGAAAAGTTTCTAAGAATCATGAATTTTATAAGCTAATTTTCAAACATAAAGTATTATATTCTTTTCCTTTCTTTTTTTTCACTCGAAAATACTTAAAAAAAAGTATTTATTTATTAAAATACAACTAAGCTATATAATCCTTAGAGCTCAATTAGTTTACAATTGTGTTGATTTTGTGTAGCGATTTGTTTTTTTTTTTTTAAATTTTATTTTGTGTTGTTAATTAATTTGTGCGCAGCACATAAATGTAATTATTAATTTCTAGAAATACATAATTTCTCACGGAGAACAAAATCCTGGTAAAACTACTGTATGGTAATGACAGTTCTGGTAAGAAAAAACCATAATTCTAGTTAATAAAACCCAAATATATGGTATTTAAACCAATCATATAGTAATTTTTCAGTTATTTTAATAGTTAATCGGAAATTCTGCTTTTAAAAGTTATGGTTTTTATTACTACAGATTGAGTAAAAAATACAAAACTGGAAATTAAATTCAACCGAAGAAATAGTTTTTATACCATCCTCTAAAATATCGTAACAAAATGACAGAATTTATCACACGTAGTGAAAAGCCATATTTTATTGCTAAATTTGCTAAAAACATTACAAAAGCGCTTCGGCAGAAAATATCAAGATTCCTGGCCTTTCTATAGAGCCAGAAACACTGTAAATTTTATCATGTTTTGGCCATACATTTTTTTTCTTAGTGTGCGCAATTTAAATTTATTCAGTATTTTCTCATAAACAAAAGATTTAATTAGTTTTTTCCCCATGACTAATATATTTAATCAGATTTTTTCTTATAAATAATATAATTAATTCTATTCTCCATTGGCTTAGCATAAATCATAAACTATAGCAATTCTATTATCAAGTATTCTTTCGATTAATAGTTAATATGTTTCTATCGAAAACAATAGAGTTAATCAATTCCTATAACATTAATTTGGTGCAAAGGAAATTTAAATGAGGATTTCGTACACAAAATCTTTATACCTCATTACGTTTTAATATTTGATTTAATATCGATGAAATAGATGT